ATGTGACTATTGCTTTGTGTTGAATACTTGATATCTAGTCACATGTGAAAATGATGTGTCCATCATATTTTTGCCCCATATGGCATGGTGAGCTTGTGCTAGGATGTTTATGAAATTTCCTGCGTCGGAAGTCCCGGCATTCGCCGGAAGCTCCGACAGTCGGAAGTCCCGTCCTCCGGATCGGAACTTCCAACTATTGGAAGTCCTGGCTCAGGCCGGAACTCCTGACGCAGATCTGAGTGGACGTATTTTTTAACCACGCCCGTTTGACCTAGGGTTTATTATTTATTTAATCATGCCCAACCTAGTTCCCCACGTCGCGTCGCTCTCTATCGCCCTCTATGTCCGCTACCGCTTGCCGCGCCGCCCTCGCCCCTCTCCCTACACCGCCGCCCTCACTCGTGCCATCGCTGTGCCGCCTCTACATCGCCGCTCGCCCCGTGCCACTGCTTGCGCCACCGCCGCCAGTGTGCTGCCCCTCGCCCCCTCGCGCCCTGGCTCTCTTCACCCTTCCTCGTCGCCGTGGTGGTCGTAGATTTGTTCTAGGAAGTCATTCTCGCTGTGGATTTGGTGATTCTCCTCTTCTTCCTCTCTCTTCCAAGGTACAACCTCCTTGGCTAACCCTAATTTCCAATTTACCTTGCGATTAGATTCTTTTCTACCTCCCTCTCTTCTCCTCTACTTTCCTTGTGTGACTGATCGCATAGATTTGGATCCCCATGTATGGATTGGCCACCAAAGTACGTTGGAAGCCCTAGGGTTCACCGGAAGTTCCGATAGCCAGAATTCCTGGCTCTAGGGTCGAAACTCCCGACTGCCGAAAGTCTCGACTCAGGCCAGAACTCCTGACCGTCGGAAGTCTTGGCGCTCGCCGAAACCTCTGACTCCTTGGTTGCTACTCCATCCATGTTTCTTCATCTCTAGGCTCTCGTTCAACTTTCTTCTGTCTTGCTTCTTAGTTTCTTTTTGTTTTTCCCCGTAGCGATGGCTTCCAGTTGTGATGACACTCCTCCATGTCATAGCAAGAAGCATTCCAAGAAGAATAATGACCCCGCTGGATCCTCTAGCATGACTAGACGCACCAAGGTGTCACTCCCTCATGATGTAGCTGGTGGTCGTGGGGATCATGCTCGTGCTGCTTGTGCTCAAGCCCAAGCTCCACCTCCACCAATTGGTGCTGCTGCTCGGGAGTTTGTTCCCAGCATTGGCGATGTGCCCATTGTTGATCCTGCTGAGGAAGCCCTTCATAAAGAAGGAAATACTATTGCTGATGATATCTGCACCATGACTCCCTCTGCTCTAGGCTATTTTGGGGTCAGTCGATTGGTTCCGTTCACCGGTCCTACTCCTACCATCCGAGAACCACAGCGCACTCCAAATCTAGCTGGAGGTTACACACCTCATTTGATGGTTGATTATCATCGCCATGTGGCTGAGATTCATCATCGACATGCCCAACCTCTCTATGATGAGACCAAGGATTTGAGAATTGAGTACAGGTTCTGGCAACCATTTTATTTTGACTTTTATCATCATTTGGTCTATCTCCACTACATCAACAAGAGTGAGGCCCCTGTGATTCAGATGAAGGCCATTAACACTTTTGAGCTTAGCAAGCTACCTGGCTTGGACATGATGCAGCTGCTTCGTGACTTGAGGAGGATGGTGTTGCAGCCACTGATGGAGTTCCGCAAGTCATGGAACAACGAGAATATCTATCAGTTCTATGTCTCCTATCACTTGGACACTTGCGAGGATACACATGTCATTCATTGGACCACCGAAGGCAAGAACTATAAGATTGATTTCATTACCTTTTCTCGCCTTCTTGGCTTGGACCACAGGGATAGCACCTCCACCGCCATCACTGAGATTTTAGCTCTTGCTATGGATGAGTATTAGTACATGTATTTGGATGGTCATTGTGCTGATGGGAAGACCGTTTGGCTGAAGCCCTACTACTATGTGCTCAACAACATCCTTCGTCAGATCTTGTATCCCAAGATAGGTGACTCTACTAATCTCCATGAGGATTCCCAGGTTGTACTTGATTGCTTTAGCGATGAGTTCACCAAGTTCTTCATCAGTCGTTATATTTGGGACAAGTTCTTCGTGGCTAGTGAGGATGTGGTGAAGCACTACCCCTATGCTCCATTCATCATGCATATCATTGAGCATGTGTTAGGCATTCACTTCCTTTTAGATGCCCCTCACAAAGTTCTCAAGCTGTCCAACAAGACGTCACTTCAGACAAAGAGGGAGTTAGCGGAGGCTCCTAAGGGAAAAGGAAAAGGCAAAGGTGCTTTGGGATCCTCCTCACATGCCTCTCCACCATGTGCTTCGCACTCTCGCCGTGCTCATAGTGAGGAGCCTCAGTCCTCCTCCTCCTCTGGTGGTAAGCCCCCAAGCAAGTTCAAGTTCTTCATGAAGTATATGTTTGAAGCTTGTTGTGCTAGTGCTGAGCATGAGCAAGAGATGCTAGTGAGGATGCATCGCATTCAACAGAAGCTTGACATTCACTCCGCACCGCCTTGGGCCTTGGAGCCACTTTGTGATCCTTTTGAGCTTTAAGATGAGGCTTCCAAGGAATACTATGGAGAGTCATCCGATCAGCCCCGTCCCCATGGCAAGTCGTAGATGAATGTCGATGATGAGGAGTACCGAGAGGAAGATGATGACGATGATGACGACGATGATGATGGTGGTGACGGTGATGATGATGAGGACTACGATGATGAGTAGTCATTTCTTTCATGTGGCCTACCCTTTTGGCACTTGTTGACAAAGGGGGAGTGTTAGGCTTTGATCTATCTGTGTAATAAGCTAGTTGGGTTCGAGACTTTAAAACTTTTATCTTGTATGAACCATGTCGTGTGGTGGCAACTATGTGATCGACAACTATATATCTATGTATGATGGATGACTGTAGGACAAGTAATGCTTATTATCTATCGTATTAGCTTGTGCTTGTCTCCTTTTGTGAATGGTGGATGTTATTTCGGATGGCCATGTGTTGTTTCAAGCTTCTAATTTGAGATCTTGGCCATCACATTCTCTTTTACTTGTTGTATGAATATAACATGTCATATTGCATATCTTTGTCACGGATATATACTTGTTCACATACACTTGGTGCACCCCACGGATTGCAAAATTTAGGGGGAGTTTCTAACTTAATATACGCAAGTGATGTGTTTATGATCATCATTGAAATTCAAATTCATTGCATATATTAAGGGGGAGCTATCCATAAATTTTGGGGTTCAAAAGTTTAAATTCTTTCATTCTTATAAAAAGCCTAAGTTGGTTGTCATCAATTACCAAAAATAGGGAGACTGAAAGTGCATTTGCCCCCTATGTGGGTTTTGGTGTATTGATGACATCCAAATTGGGACTAATGAGATCTTAATGAGATATATTGCAGCTTTAGTCCCTTGAAAGCTTTAAAAGAGTTGATCTAAGATGAAATGGTATCACATAATTGTTCAAGTGCAAAAAGCGGACGAACCCAAAGCGCCCTCCAAAACCTTTTTTATTTTGTTTTGGTTTTAGGTATGCCGTACTACAAAGAGGGATGCAAGTTTAGGTGGTCTGAGAAAGATAGAGTGCTCAAGCATAAAAATAAAATCAAAAGAGAGATACAAAATCACCTCACGAACACTTGGACATAGTTTGTGGACTTTTGGTAGTCGGAAGTCCTGATGTTTGGTGCCGGAAGTCCTAGCACTTGCTGACTTAGCCGCACCCCGCCTGCGCATCTTCGCCCGTCGGAAGTCCCGACGAGAGTCAGGAGTTCCGGGTGCCGGAAGTTCCGGCTCCCTCCGGAAGTCTTGACACTTGATGACTTAGCCGCCTGCCCATCTTTGCCCATCGAAAGTCCCGATGGGAGTCAGGAGTTCTGGGTGCCAAAAGTCTCGACACTTTGGGACTTGGTCATCTGGCTCACCATGTCTGTCGAAAGGTCCAACAGAAGCCAGAAGTCCCGGCGACTGCCAGGAGTTCTGACGATATGCGAGCAAGCCTAGTGGACTATCAGTGTGAACAATGTTTTTGCGTTGAGCTGGAAGTTCTAGTGATCTGTGTTGGAACTTTCGACTTAGATATGAACGGTTGGATCTACCTTTGAGTATAAATAGCTCTCTCCTCTCTTCTAACGGCAACCAACTCATTCATTGCTCACCAACCTTCGTCCAAAATAGCTCCCAAGCATTCAAGGAACCCCTCTCCTCTCCCCCTTGGTCAAATCTTCGATTCCCCTAGGGTCTTGAGTGAAAGGAGAGTGGATTGAGTGAGAAAATCACTTTGACAAGCTTGAGCACTTGATTTATTTGTCAAGCCGGTTGGATTTGCGTCTATTACTCTTGGGTTCTTGGAACCCTAGCTGGGTAGGCGTCGCCTAAGAGCTTCCATCTTGTGGAAGAGCCTTGAAAAGTTTGTATTACCCTTGATTTCTTAGTGGAAAGCTCAAGAGACCTTTGTGGTTGCTTTGAGAGAGGCAAGGAGGTGGAAGAGACTTCGACCTCTGTGGTCACCTCAACAATGAGGGCGTAGGAGCTCCTTTGTGGGGTTCCCGAACCTCGGGATAAATTCTTGTGTTCTGCATGCTTGTTGTTGTTGTGATTTGTGCTATCATATTTGTTCTAGATGGTTTGTCTTCCTCCCAAAACTTTCCTTCTAGGGTTTGGACTTGATTTATGAAGTGGTGACCTTCAGGCATCAAAGAAGCAACCCCAACACTTCACCTTACCACTAGGGAGTGGGGTTGTAAGATATCTTTCACTCAAAGTTTGTTTTAGCACTTGTAGTATAATTCTCGTAGGTGCCGGAAGTCCCAGCTGTTTGCGTCGGAACTTCTGGGTGTCGGAACTTCTGGCCTAAACTATCGGGACTTCTAACTGTCACTGACATTTGGCTTTGAGTTTACGTAGAAATTTTTAGATACGCCTATTCACCCCCCCCCCTCTAGGCATTGTTTAGATCTTTTCACTAGGAGGCTTGCAATGAAGGTGATTCTTGGTGATGAAGAGGAGCAATACAATAGGCTGTGGGACTATGGACATGAATTGAGAAGGAGTAATCCAGGTAGCTCTTTCTTTCTCAATGTTGCTGGTAGCCTTTTTTGTCACTGTATGTGTCACTGGATGCCTACAAAAGGAGTTTCTTAGCTGGGTGCAGACCTATAATTTGTTTAGATGGTTGTCATTTGAAGACAAAATATGGGGGGATAATGCTCACTGTAGTTGGCATTGATCCAAATGACTACATATATCCAATTGCATTTGCAGTTGTTGAAGTTGAGTCTTTGGTCACTTGGAAGTGGTTTTTGCAAACTCTGAATGAAGATCTTGGGATTGAAAACACATACCCATGGACTATCATGACAGACAAGCAGAAGGTACGATATGTTTATCTGATTATTTCTAGGTTGTGCCTCATTTCTTTCTTCAATCTGAAAATTTTGATATGTTCTACAGGGATTGATACCAGCTGTTGCACATGTCTTTCTAGAATCTAAACACAGATTCTATGTGAGCCATTTGTTTTCAAATTTCCAAATACACTTCAAAGGAGAGAATTTGAAGAACCAACTCGGATATGTGCCAGTCAACCACAGAACTTAGATGGAATGAGAACATGGAAAAATGAAGCTACTCAATCAAAAAAGCATATGAATGGCTTGAAGATGAAACCAAATACTTGGGTAATGACTTTCTTTAGTACTTACTCAAAGTGTGACATTCTCTTAAACAACAACTGTGAGGTGTTCAACAAATATATACTTGATGCTAGGGAAATGCCAATATTAAGTATGTTAGAGCAAGTCTAATCATAGTTGATGACTAGGCATTACTCAAAGGAGAAAGAGGTAGGTGATATGTGGCAAGGCCCTATTTGTCCCAAAATTAGGAAGAAGGTCTACAAGATCTCAGAATGGGCAAACACTTGTTATGCACAACCAGCTAGCAGTGGTGTTTTTAGGTTAATGTCATGGATAGGCAGTACACAGTGGACATCCAACTTAGGTAGTGTGATTGCAGAAGGTGGGATCTAACTGGTATCCCATGATGATGGTGGTGACCGTGATGATAACAAGGACTATGATGATGAGTAGTCATTTCTTTCACACGGCCTACCCCTTTTGGCACTTGTTGACAAAGGGGGAGTGTTAGGCTTTGATCTATCTATGTAATAAGCTAGTTGGGTTCAAGACTTTAAAACTTTTAGCTTTTATAAACTATGTCGTGTGGTGGCAACTATGTGATCGACAACTATATATCTATGTATGATGGATGACTGTAGGATAAGTAATGCTTAATATCTATCGTATTATCTTGTGCTTGTCTACTTTTGTGAATGGTGGATGTTATTTCGGATGGCCATGTGTTGTTTCAAGCTTCTAATTTGAGATCTTGGCCATCATGTTCTCTTTTACTTGTTGTATGAATATAACATGTCATATTGCATATCTTTATCATGGATACATACTTGTTCACATACACTTGGTGCACCCCACGGATTGCAAAATTTAGGGGTAGTTTCTAACTTAATATACGCAAGTGATGTGTTTATGATCATCATTAAAATTCAAATTCATTGCATATATTAAGGGGGAGCAATCCATAAATTTTGGGGTTTAAAAGCTTTAAATTCTTTCATTCTTATAAAAGCCTAAGTTCGTTGTCATCAATTACCAAAAATGGGGAGATTGAAAGTGCATTTGCCCCCTATGTGGTTTTTGGTGTATTGATGACCTCCAAATTAGGACTAATGAGATCTTAATGAGATATATTGTAGCTTTAGTCCCTTGAAAGCTGTAAAAGAGTTGATCTAAGATGAAATGGTATCACTCAATTGTTCAAGTGCAAAAAGCGGACGAACCCAAAGCACTCTCTAAAGCCTTTTTTATTTTGTTTTGGTTTTAGGTATGCCGTAGTACAAAGAGGGATGCAAGTTTAGGTGGTCTAAGGAAGATAGAATGCTCAAGCATAAAAATAAAATCAAAAGAGAGACACAAAATCACCTCACGAACACTTGGACATAGTTTGTGGATTTTTGGTAGTCGGAAGTCCCGACGTTTGGTGCCGAAAGTCCCGGTGCTTGCTGACTTAGCCGCAGCCCGCCTGCACATCTTCGCCCATCGGAAGTCCCAACAACTTTAGGATATTTTTAATGGTCGAGTGACACGGAACACCCCATGTGGAAAACCAACACGTGTAACTTCCAACATCATACCCAAATAACAAGTTTATTCTGCTGGGAAGAAATTACATGATTCACCTATGTATATAATCATTATTGTCCCTCCTAGGCTTGACTATTCGATAACTCGCTCGGATTCTTATTGGAGTTAACTGGTAGCTCATCTTGGATTCACCCAATCCAAGGTCTACTATGCAGCGGTGAACAGAATGCTACTTCACATCCACCAGGCAACAACACCTGCAAAACAACTTAACGGCAGCACCATGAGTACATTGCGTACTCGCAGGACTTAATTCCAACATATAGTATTTGGTGGATGCATGGGGTGATTATTAGGCATTTGTATAAGTGCGGAAAGCAATGATGTTCATTAGGAGTATGACATGCTATGCTCAACATAGAAGTAAAGATATTCATCATTATAACAAAGTGCTCATAGTCCATTGTTGATTCTACCATGGGTATAGAAAGAAAGAACAACCAAATAGTTCGGTCCCAAGGGACACCAGGCTTTCAAGATTCTATAGAGGTGTACAACTGTACCCACATAGAAGAACGGGACTAACCTCCATACCCCATACATGAGGTAAGGGTTGCCTCACGTCTCCCAACCTTTCCTTAATACGGCCCGAGTTTCCGATGAAAGGTTTGAGCGGTTGCCCGATCAATGTCCTGGACATTCCCAACCGATGCCAACCCCCTTGCTAGTTTCACGGATAAACATGTCACAACTAGTTACTTGGCTTGTCGACCCCATCTGCGACATGTGGTCTCTACGGGTGGTTACTCGGATTTATGTATCCTAATACATGGCCCTTACTGCTCCATGAGCTACATCATTTGAGATCCCATACTCACGACGACCTACACCTTGCATGAGCAAGATATACAAGTTATCATCAAGATTATCATATTAGAGATATTAGTATTTAGCCAGATTAGTTAGGTAAGTCAAGTTGTACCCTCATTGGTTTTAGTAGTTAATTGTCCAGGTGTAACATCCTACACGTGCGAGTATGAGCTCCCTTCTCATGCTCGACTACTATCGTTTCCCAAGCAACTAAGCAATAAGCATTAAGTGTTCCCATTCCCATTATTTAGATGAGAGGCTTCTACAGATTATTAGGCTACTCTAGGTGTAGTATAAGAGTGATCATTATCCAAGACTACATGCGATGCATGACTCATAATGCAACTTGATAAGTATCTAAAGTAGGGTTTATAATAGTGGGGTGCCTATCTGGGTTTTGTCGCTCGAACGAAGTCAAAGTTGTAGACAACAACTCTCACATGCTCCTTACGCTACTCGGCTCCTGAAAGAGAACAAGGATCGAGACTGAGGTCATCTGAGGAGGACTTAGGAACATAACTCAACTTAGAGCTCGGGATAGAGGCTTCTACCTATGGCTCTACTAGTGCCCTTGTGGAAGCTGTGCTTAACCTAGTGTTGTTATCTCCTTGGATAAGATGGCTGAATAGTCTCACACTCTTTGTATGTTGTCGGACACTCCATCCTAGCTGACGGACACTCCTATGTGCTGGGTGTTGAGATGGGTGATTTCTGGGTTGGCTCTGCTCAAGCTTTCGGATACTCCATGGGAAACATGAGTACTCCGGTAGGTTTGGGACTTAGGCATATCTAGGGTTCTCTGTTCACATCAGATAGTCTGGTCAGTTGATGGACACTCCAATGGGAACTAGGTTCTCTCAGGTTGCTGGGTTGTTGTTCTCTATAATTCACAGGATGCTCCGTCGTGGGTAACGGACACTCCGCTGTGTCGCTCAGAATGGAAATTAGACTGCTGGTGGCTAGGGTCGAGATTGGCGGATACTCCATCCTAGTGACAAACATTCCGTCAGTCGGGCAACAGAACCTATGCTCTTAGGTGGTCTTGGGATTAAAGTCAAGGTGTGCTCAGGTATTCCTAGGATAGCTTAGGTAGTTCACTAGGCTCAGTAAGGCTGGGTTACAAGCTTGTTTTACTAAGTGTGGCTAGGGCTTTAGGATCAAACTTAGAGATACAAGAACTCAAGGATAAACCATGAGATTGGGGTAGAACCTTGACTCTGAGATCTGAGAGCTTCCATAGCAAAAGGTTGAGGATCCAAGCTTCCTTCGCTCACATATTCTTCATTCCTCATCCAAACTTGGCTTGGCTCCCTGTGGACTTCCTTTTGCATCACACCAAAGACATGGATTAAAGGATTACCCAAGAAATGGAGATGATTCTTCTGAAGCTTACCATGAAGGGGTTAAGGGGTGAAGGGTGTCCATGAGCTGCTACTGATGCTTTCCCCCTTCCTCTTCTCCAATCCTTTCTCCAATCTTTCCCCTCTCTAGCTTCTAGGGTTCTTGCTTGTTCTTGAGTGAGTTAGAGAGAGAGTGAGTGTTGCAAATGGGAGGATGAGTGAGAGAGTGAGGCCTCAGCTGAGAGATATCCATTCCTATTTTGTGCTAACATGTGGGTCCCACTCACTCAAGTGGCAAACAACTCATTTCCCATTTTGCTACTGCTCTATGCTCTATCGGACGGTCTGGTAAACTGGCGGATTATCCGGTAGTCTCTACCTTTGCCGAATCAATTAAGTCATTGGGTGGTCGATCGTTGGTGTCCAATGCTTTGCTCCTAGGTAGTCCCTAGGGTTGAATTGCTATCGATGATATCAATAGAATGAACTCTTAATTTGTTTAGGTCCTTTTCCTTCATTACTCTGGTTGTAAGCCTGATCATGTCTATCCGGGCTCGCATTGGGTGCTTCTGCGTCTTGTCTGGCTAGCGTAATTTGTTAAACAGGCTTCGAGTGATTCAGAAGGTGATTTCCTAGATAGTCGGACATGAATGTCTAGGGCATAGTGAATTTGGGTCATTACAATCCTCTCCTCCTTATAAAAAGCTCATCCTCGAGCTTTCCCGGGGTACCATGGGCACCACATTCGGGGAAAGTTCGGGGTTCTATTTGTGCTCTATAAAGCATTCCCTTTATGTGCTCCATCGACTCTTCCTCGTTAGTATCGCAAAAGAGTAGAGGTCTACTCTTCCATGTCCAAGTTAGGGTGACTTCTTGTTCCTTGGGGCTTCTCTATCTCACCTTAGTTCACTCTCGGGTTAGGACTTGATTGCTGGCTTGGATTCTTAGTAAGTGAAACCTTCTAGACATTCTCTGTCTGCTGGTGGACTGTCTGACTCACTCAGTGGGTAGTCCGGTGATCTCAAGGGACTTTAGCAACTATGGAAGGTTTGGTTATCTGATCAGCGGACGATCCATGGTGATGATGGACTTTCCGTCAATTCACGAACTATAAATAGGCTGACAGTGACTGTTGGGATTCATTCCTTTTCATCTTTAGTTCACACTGCTATTGCCACCACTCTCATCGCTGTTGTGGCCGTGTATGTGCTTTGGGAGGATTCAAACT